GGGCTCCCCTGGAGGAACCCCTGTGTTGACCCTGGGGGTGCTGCTGTCCCCAAACTGGGTTCTTGCAAGATCCAGTCACTGTCCAGAGTGGAGATCAGAGAACCAGGGAGCCCTAGAACCTATAAATATCAGAGATGTTGGGTTTTCTTCCAGTCCTGCCCAGAAAAAGGGTGCTACCCAAGGCACCCACCTTGGAGACATGAGCCAGGTCTTCAGGGGTAGGATGAGGGGTGATGGGTTTAAACCAGAGCCAAGGTGGGCTTAGGCTGGACATCAGGAAGAAGTTCTTCACCAGGAGGGTGGGGAGCCCCTGGCTGAGGTTGCCCAGAGAGGTGGTCGCTGCCCCACCCCTGGAGACATCCCAGGTCAGGCTGGATGGGGCCCTGAGCCTGCTCTAGTTGGGGATGTCCCCGTTGGGTCCCAGTTGGGACCCTTGCCCAGCTGATGCCTCCTCCTGGGTGTGAGACCTGGGACCTTGGTTACCCTTTCTCCTGAGGACGCCTTGGGTCTGTCAGGGGTGGGGGATCCACCTGGTGATGGTTGGAAAGGGACCATCCTGACCACCCCTGTGCTGTCACTTCCCTTCACGAGGCTCTTCCTTGTCCCACCTTCCCTCCTAGGCATCACCTTGTGGGACATCTCCTGGTCAAACTGGCAGTGGTGGGGAGCCCTCCTCCCCTCCCACGCCATAACTTGGCTATCATTGGGCTCTGTTGAATAATTACCCTCCCTCCCTAATTACCCCTCTCTTTGTGAAGAGGAAGAGGCTTTTCTGCTGAGCTGAAGATGGTTGAGGTTCAGGATGACGTGGATGGGTCCTTGGGTGATGTGCTCTTCAACCAGGGATCAAAAGACCTCCCTGAAGTCACCACCAGCAGTGGGATGCTCTTCACTCGCAGCTTCTACCCCCCTACCCAGAGACAAGGTCCTGCTGGTGCTGGAGAGGCTGATGAAAGAGCAGAGATGAGCAAGGAGAGCTTCTGAAGAAGTCATTGTTCTTGAGATGAGACAGCGTGGAGGCCGTGGAGAAGGATCCTGGATGAAATGGGGCAGGAAGAGAACTGGAGAACAAAGTAAAAAGGGGGAAAAATCGTCTAGGAAAAGGAGGATTTGGCCAATGGAAGATGTGGTGGGGGTGAAGAAACCAAAGAGCAGCATTCTTGCTTTAACCTCTGAGTTTCTCCTCTACCTTCAGACACCCTCAAGCCCAAAGGCTCCAAGCACCCGGGGCTCAAACCCACTCTGTGTCCCTCCTGGGCTGCCTGTGTCCTGGCTCTGGCTCCAGGGGCCACAGCAGACCTCCAGCACGTGGAACCTTCCCCTGCAACGTGCTCCAGTCAAGCTGCTGCCAAGCAGAGCCCGAGGGCTCCAGGGAAGGTGGCTGCCCAGACCTGCAGGAGGACTTGTTGGAGCCAACCCAGCTCTGCCAGCAGCAGCTATCACCGGGCAAGCACCCGGCAGCACGAGGTGCCACGGTTGGCACTGAGGCAACGGGCTGCTCCTGGAAAGGAGGAGGCTCCAAGGAGACCTTCTGGTGGCTTTGCAGGACTTAAAGGGCTTAGGAGAAAGTTGGGGACAGAGTTTTGAGCAGGGCTTGTTGGGACAGGACATGGGGGGATGGTTGGAAACTAAAAGAGGGAAATTGAGCCTAGAGAGGAGGGAGAAATTTTGGATGCGGAGGGTGGTGAGACCCTGGCTGAGGTTGCCCAGAGAGGTGGTCGCTGCCCCCTCCCTGGAACCATCCCAGGGGAGGTTGGACCAAGCTCTGAGCACCCTGCTCTAGCTGCAGATGTCCCTGCTCCCTGCAGGGGGGTTGGATGAGATGGACCTTGACAGGTCCCTCCCCACCCAAACCAGTCCATGGTTCTACAGGCAGCTGCACTTGGCCCGTGCCCATTCAGCAGCCTCGGGCTGGTGGCCTCTTGGACATGGGCAGTGGCAAACCCCATGAGCATGGTTGCATTCTCCTGCATGGACTTGGGAGGAGAGGCTCAGCAGACCACCAGTGTCTCTGCTTTCTCAGCTGCCATCACGAGGACAGTGCAATGTGAGCCCTTGCATGGTTGTCTTCTGCAGAAAGCACTTTTCCCTGGGTCAGCTTGAGATCCAGCCCCCACCACCCAGGCTGGACCTGAAACCGAGTTACACCAACACCTCTCCAAACTCCTGGAGCCATCTGAAGGATCACCACATGAACACAACTCCTGCCTGGATGGTGGGACAGCCAGGTTATCCTCCAGCTCCCCAGGAGCCACACAACTGGAGCAGTGTCTCTGCTTCCATCTCTCCTCGAGGCCATCCCACCACCCAACCACCTCTCAGTGGGATGTGTTGCTGGTGAAAGGTGCCACCTTCTCCAGGGAGACAGCAGTTTCACACTGCACGTGTGCCACCACGGGGAAGGCATCCTGAGGGGGCCCAGAGTCCTGGGAGACCTCATTAGAGGACACCTCGTTGCTGTCCATCTGCAGAGCAGCGTGGGGGAGAAGCTGGGGGTAGCTGAGGGTCACCACGTCCTTCTGATAGGTGGTGTCATGGTGGTAGGAGACCAGCTCGTTGCTGAAGTTCACGGTCTCCACGGCGTGGCTGGGGCAGAGGTGGCTGCAGCCCAGGAGGGTTGCAAAAGCTCTCCTGAAGTCGGCGTTGAAGGCGTAGATGATTGGGTTGAGGGAGGAGTTGGCCCACCCAAACCAGACGAAGATGTTGAAGACGGTCTCGCTGACACAGGGTGGCTCTGCTGGCTCCCCACGGGCACAGAAGGGCACCACGCAGTTGAGCACGAAGAAGGGCAGCCAGCAGCACACAAAGACACCCATGATGATGGATAAGGTCTTGAGGACCTTGGTCTCCTTCTGGAAGGAGTTCCTCAGGGAGGGCTGGTGAGGGCCGTGGCCGCTGTGGCAGTTTGGGGGGTGTTCCTCTCCAGGAGCCCCCCAGGGCCCTTTTTGGGCCCTCTCCAGGGAGGAGATCCTGCGGCTCTGGCGCCGGGTGAGGTGGAAGATGCGGGTGTACGTGAGGCCCATGATGGCCACGGGGATGTAGAAGCTGAGGAGAGAAGAGGAGACGGCGTAAGTCCTGCTGAGCCTGGAGTCACAGCTCCCCTCCTCCCTGGGGACGTTAAAACCTGTCTCCTGTTGGCTGAGGAGCTCTTGATCCTTGTGCCAGTCGAGCTGCACGGGGATGAAGGAGATGAGGAGGGCCAGCAGCCAAGCCCCCCCGATCATGCCACAAGCCACCCGTGATGTCATCTTCCTCCCGTAGCAGAAGGGGTTGGAGATGGCCCAGTAACGCTCCACGCTGATGATGCACAGATTGAGGATGGAGGCTGTGGAGCACATGATATCAAAAGCCACCCAAACCTCACAGAAAGCCCCAAAGGGCCAAAACCCCACGGCCTCAGCAGCAGCCTTCCAGGGCATCACCAGCAGGGCCACCAAGAGGTCGGAGACTGCCAAGGAGATGACGAAGAAATTGGTGAGTTTAGAGCGTAAGTGTCTGAACTTGGCCACGGCCACGCACACCAGGGTGTTGCCCAGCAGCGTGGAGAGGATGAGAAGGAAGAGTAAGGAGGCTGTCACCACACGGAAGGACAAGTTGGAGTTGCCTTCACCTGCCCAGCTCTTCCTGGTGCTGGTGGCATTGATCACCTCCTGCTCATCTCCTTCTGCGGAGGAGTAAAACCCATCCATGGTTTTTTAATCCTCGAGAGGCTGCAGGGCTCTTCAAGTCCTCATCAGCATCCAAAACCCCTTTTTACTGCTCTGGAAGCAGGGGCTGCCATCCTCCCAGCTCTCAGCCCCAGGCAGAGGACCCAGTGCCTGAAGCTCTCACTGCACTCCCAGTCTCCAGCTCACACCGTGGCGTTTGGGTTTTTCCTCCCTCTTGCCTCCCACCCCCTTTTCCTTCTCTGCAGCCTGCTGCTCACCGAGAGCCAGCACTCACCTCCAGCAGTTGAGGGAGCTGGGAGAGCTTTGGCCACGAGCCTTCCTCCCTCTCCTCTCTCTGAAGCTCTTCATCCATCGTTGATCTGGAGCCTGCTGTGGAATCCCACTCGATCCCCTCCAGGCTGGGACTTGCTGCCAGGCACAGGGGGGAATCTGAGCTCTCTCACTTGCCCTGCTCAAACCAGGCTGCTCTGCTGGCTGCTCTCCCCTCGGGGCTCCACTCTGCTGAGATCTGTCTCTGCCCTCCCTCCAGGTCTCCTGCTCCCCAGGTCCATCCTCTGGGAGCTGGGAGGAACCCAGCACTGGGAGCCCGGAGCTGAGGGGGTGAGTGGCTCAGGAATTACGTGAGAGGACTGAAGGGGTAAAATAACAAACGTTCAAGTGGGATTTGAAGGTCTTCAGAGCCAATCAGGATGGAAACGTAGCGTGCTTCATCTCTGAACAAGAGCCCTGGAAATTCACTGCTCAGGCATCGAGGCACAGCGCAGCTACAGGACCCCAAACCAATCCCTCCCCCCAGCTGCAAGACTGGCATTTGCTTTCCACTGCAAAATTCCACAAGGAAAAAAACCCCAAACAAACCAAACCAACCCAACAAATGAACGTAACCCACACAAACAACAACAAAAAAAAGCTTGTGCAAATCAGATATTTCTCTTTCTCAACCTGCTGGCAGAGTTTTCAGTCTGTCTTTCAGCAGAGGTTACATGTAGAAGCAGAGAGGATGCTGAACATCACTTGGGGAAGTGTTTTAGCCTGAATAAACTGAGCACTCAGTGGTCCCCCCAAGATCTCCTCTCCTCTCTGCCCTTCCCCACCACTCCCCACTTCTCCTCCTTCCCCCCTGCCTTGCCCATCCCACCAAAGTTGGGGGGCTCAGGACCCAGGCCTGACCTGCTGAGGCACAGTTTAGTCTTGGAGCACTTGGAATCCATCACTTTGTGGGCAAAAAGGCTTCTCCTGGAGCAATGTCAGAAAAACCCTTCAGGAGGCAAGTTTCCTGACAGCCAGGTCTGTAAATGCTGCTTAAATTGGGACCTGCTTTGGAGAAGTGCCTGGCTGGTAAACTGGAAAGAAGCTTGAGGGCTGGGGTCAGTTTTGGGCACCAGAGGATAAGAAAGACCTTGAGGGGCTGGAGTGGGTCCAGAGAAGGACAATGCAGCTGGGGAGGGGTCTGGGGAACATGGCTTGTGAGGAGAGGCTGAGGGACCTGGTGGGGGTGGCTAATCTGGAGAAGAGGAGGCTCAGGGGAGACCTTCTGGCTCTCTCCAGCTCCATGGAAGGAGGTTGGAGTGAGGTGGGAGTTGGTCTCTTCTCCCAAGGAACCAGGGACAGGACAAGAGGCAATGGGCTGAAGTTGCCCCAGGGGAGGTTTGGGTTGGATCTGAGGCAGAATTTCTCTCCTGGCAGAGTGGTGAGACCTTGGCCCAGGCTGCCCAGGGAGGTGCTGGAGTCCCCAGCCCTGGAGGGGTCCAAAAGCTGTGTGGACGTGGCCCTTGGGGCCATGATTTGGTGGTCATGGGAGTGTTGAGTTGCTGGTTGGACTGGATGACCTTAGAGGCCTTTTCCAACCCTAATGATTCTGTGATTTAAGCCAAAGCTTTCCAAACCCAGCTGAAGTCCCCAGCAGGCAGCTGAGCTTCCATGCCCTGGTGGCACGGACTGTTGCTGGCTCAGGATGGGCTCTGCCTGTCACACACCCACTGCTGGAGAGCAGCAGCCCCTGTACCCAGAGCCATCCACTTCACCCTGTAACTGAGCTTTGCACAAGCCCAGACAGAGCAGGAACAGCCCAGGAACAACTTTCAAACAAGAGCACGGTTCTTCTCTTGAAGACAGGGCTCCAAAATGCCCCCTCCCAGGGCAAACAGCACGCCTGCTTTGGGACAGGGGACAGAAACTTGCTGCCACCCTGCCACAGCTTTTAACTCGGGAGGCTTTGTTTAATTAAGCCTCATTAGTTCCACCGTCTGCAGCCTGCTCCTGCCAAGTGCCTATGCCAGGGAGAGCAGCTAGATGGCACCCAGAGCCACGGCCCAGCACCGGGCACTGCTGTCTGCCCAGCTCCTGCCCCTCAGCAGAGTGCCAGGGTGGAATCCTGGGGGCAGTTTTGGGCCCCTCACTCCCAGCAGGACCTTGAGGGGCTGGAGCGTGGGCAGAGAAGGGCAACGGAGCTGCTGGGGAAGGGTCTAGAGGCCAAGTGTGGGGAGGAGCAGCTGAGGGAGCTGGGGGTGCTGAGCCTGGAGCAAAGGAGGCTCAGGGGAGACCTTCTGGCTCTGCACAGCTCCTGACAGGAGCCTGGAGCCAGGGGGGGGTCGGGCTCTGCTCCCAAGGGACAGGACAAGAGGGAACAGCCTCAAGTTGCCCCAGGGGAGGTTTCAGTTGTCCCTGAGGAACAATTTCTTGCCCTGGAGGGTTGCCCAGGGCTGTGCCAGGCTGCCCAGGGCAGTGGTGGAGTCCCCACCCCTGGAGGGGTTCCCAAGCCGTGGAGATGTGGGGTGAGGGACACGGGGCAGTGGGGACCTGGCCCTGCTGGGGGGTGGTTGGACTCTATGACCTTAAACATCACTTCCAACCAAACCCAAAATTCTCTTAATCCCTCAGAGGAACAGGAGGGACCCCTCACTGCCCAGACCCCCCCAGGACCCTGGCAGAGCACTAACCCATGCAGGGACACACTCAGACACAACGTCCTCCGTGCCCCAAGGGGCATTTTTCTCATCTTCCCTCTAACAGGGCACAAAGCTTGTGGAGATCTCTGTTGGAAGACACCCCCGTGAGGCTGTCACTGCTCTCCAGGAGAGCAGCCATGGCAGGGGACCTGTCCTGCCACGTTCAGCCCCAGCAGAGCCTGGGGCTGGGAGCTCGTGGAACACTCATCCCAAGCCAAGAGGCACTCCAGGAAATCATTCCTCGAGACAGGAGGAAACTTTCCTCTTCCTTAGGAGCTTAAAAAACACCTAAGAGAGGGTCTTGCCCTTGCACACAGCTCAGAATGAAGCAGACACTCCAAGCTGTGTTGGGAGGCAGGGGGGAAGATGGGATGGGATCCAACAGATGACCCAATTTCTGCTTGTCTCAGGTCACACCTCCTGAGGGAGGACTGTTCACTCTGCTGTCACAGACTAGGGAGCTGCTGGTGTTCCCAGATGAACTCCTCCTCCCCTGAGAGAACTGTTCTGCTCCATTATATCCCTAAACTGTTGCCACGTTAAGCACCTGCTATTTTTTTTCTGAGAATCAAGTGAAGGGCTATTTTAAACAGCACTTTTAAACAGCACTCAGTAGGATAAGGCTCCAGTCTGGTGGCAATGCAGCTCTAGGTTTTTAGATTTCATTTCCTCACCCAGCAAGAAGCTGCCCTCCACTTCCCTTCCCTGCTGTCTCACCAAAATATACTTAAAATTCTCCCCCCAGCCATCTTGATTGCCTTCCCCACTTTGCCTCAAAGGAAGAAAATGACAAACCACTCCAAATAAAGCAGCAGCTGCTTGGGTTTAACTCTTAAAATGCCTCTTCCAGAAGGGCCATTTCGGATGCACAACAGAATTGCAGGAGTGTTTATCCCTGCAGGAATCACCCAGGAGAAGGCACGAGTTCTGAAAGCAGGGGAGAGGTGGAGGCAGATCCTTAAAACCCAAAATAATCCAGTGATACTGGCTGAAAACAAGACCTGAGCAGCACTGGGGGGATCACAAGACAAAGACAGGAACAAGAAGCTTCCTCCTCCCTGCAGAAAAACCACGGCAGCTCTCCTGGGACCAGTTCTGATGGAACCTCAGGGGAAACAGGTTCAGCTGCCAGCAAACTCAAACCCTACTCCAGGCCTCAGAGTTGCATGAGAAGAGGGAAAAGAAGTCAGGCTGAAGCACAGAAAAAGCAGTGAGCCTTTCCAAAAAAGGATGCTCATCAAATTAAGGCATCACAACCCAAAGCCAGTGGGTAAAAAACCAGCCAGGATTTAGAAGTCCAACGTAGCAACTGTTGGTGCTTAAAAAGCACAGAGAAAAAGCTCAGAGGAATCAGGGACTCCATTGGGGTGGGGTTTTTTTTTGACAAAGAAGTTCAGGAAACTGCCCATTTACTTTCAGCAAAGTTTTATAGATGCAGAAGCAGAGCTGGAACAGCACTAACACAGCAGGGATCTGTGGCACAGAGAACAGGAGGCACCACGAGGGACTCTGGTTCCTCCCCTTTATTACACACGGTGGTTTTTCTCCAGTTGGCTCCCAAAAGGAAAGGAATACAGAGCTTCAAGTCATTCCCCACAACCCCCTGTGCAGCCTGGGCAGACTTCTGGCACTCTTCACCAAAGCTCCAAGCAAGCCAGAGCCACCAGAGCACCCCCAGGGACACCTTTCATTTCTTCCTGGTCCTCAAGCTGGGTCACCAAGAATGAACAGGGCATGGGAAGTAATGAGTGAGCCCTGGTTTAGGGTTCACCACCCACGTGGCAGGGTGGAAAGGGTGGCAGGAATACATTCTGAGGCAGGGAGAGGACTGGTTCTGGCTCACCACCAGTCTCTCCTCTGCCACGTGCAGAAAGCCCAGTCCACAGCACATTGTCCTCTTGGAAGGATTCATTTATTCACTCTAGAATTCAAACTTTCTGCTCTTCCACAAGCATATGCATAAATAAAAAAGTGACCTGCAAAAGAGGATGATTTCATTTCCAATGAATAATTTCAGCCTTCTAAAAAACACCTTTTGTTGCTGTGCTGGGAGGTTTTGTTTGTTTGTGGGGGTTTTTTTTGCATTAGAAATATTTACAGGGGGTTGTTTTGGGGCTTTGTGGTAATCCATGATCTCGTGGAATTGCAACATCAAGGCTGAAGGCAAAGCCAAGGCTGTTGGGAGGAAACTGCCCTCTCAAAGGGCAAACGATGCTTCCTCCTCCTCCTCCCACCCCCAAATCACTCCCAGGGAGAGCTCAGAGCAGCCCCCAAGGAGTTTTGCCCACAGGGAAGATACAAAACCAGCAAACAGCCCCAAAATTTCAAGTCTGAGCAAGGAGAAAATTGCATTCTAGTGACCAACAAGCCTTGGTCACAACAGGTAGTGTGAGAAATTCCTTCATTTCAACTCTTTTGCAGGTCTCCCTTTTAAGGCCTTAGTGTTGTGACAGAAAGAGGAATTATTTTTCATCTTGTGCTTGCAGCTGCTGTCCCCTAAAGCAGCACCAAAAATCTCCTACCATGGAACAGTTACAGCATCTAGTTGTCCACGACCGTGCAAAACACAGAGAGGGAGGGAGAGAACTATCAGTGGGGGGTGGAAGCTTCCTGCAGGTAACTTCATGTCAAGGGCAGCACCTGCCAAAAGTGTTTTCAACAACCACACAAACAGCCAAATGTTGAGCAACTGCAACACAGCTGTGACTCAAGATTCTCCACATCAGCCACAGCTAAAGGAAAACAAAAGAAACCCCCACCCCCCAAAAAAAAACGAGCAGTTATGGACACAGAAGAGTTTCTCTTCACTAGGCAGTGAATTGTGTTCCCAGAAGGGAAGACTGGATGTTGCAGACACCAGTCAAACTGAGACCAGTGCAGGTGTTGGCACAGAGATGACAAACATCAGAGCTGGGGCCAGTTCCAGAGTGGATTGTCAGGGCAGGAGATCCTGCTGCTGAGCAAAGTGAGATCCATGGAGAATGGGGGAGTGTCACCCCTCTTCCCCCAGAAGTTCTAGTCATTAGTTAAGGAACCTCAAGACAACTTCTCAAACTGCAGCAACAGGATGCTCTCAGGTCTTCAAAGATGCAGTCCCAGAGCTGTTTTGGGTTCAGAGGAAGCAGAGGGAGTCTTTTGTGCCAAATCTGCAAAGAAAATTGCAACAGAAAGAGATCAGTTTTCATCAGGGACTCAAGGAACCATGTCCAGAACTAACAACTCCAATTTCAGTGCTCCAACAGGCAACTGGGTTCTCATGCCAACCCCTGTTTGATGTGGGGTCTGCATTTCAGAGCATTCTTCTGCTCTGAAACTTGACAGGAGCTCTGCCCAAATAGGAAGAAAACTAGAGACAGTCCTGTGTGAAGGGCAGCAGCCTCCAGGAGGAGGCTGGCAGTGAAGAGAACACCACTGGGTACTGGGAGAACTTGTTCTCTACTGTGTAACCAAACTGGGGAAGACTCTGGCTCAGCCTTTAGATATCCCCAGGTCCCAAGAGCAGCTAAGGTGACTGGCTGCCAGCCATACCTCCATCACTAACAGAGAGTTTTTCCAACTCAGCTTCCAGCTCAGCATCAGAAATGGGGGGATCCAGCACCTTCTGGGGAACTGGGGGCAGATCTACAGGCTCCTTAGCTGAGTCCTGGAGGAGACTGTCCAGCTCCTTCTCGAGTTCCTCCGTGTCTGTCTCTGCCAATTAAAAGAAAACACTTAGTTCCAAGCAGAAAACAGTTATATCTTTGCAGCACAGACTGAAGTCTGAGTTTAACAGAGGTATTATCACTCCCATCCACCATTCTTCACAATAAGGAATGCCCTGTGCTGCTTTTAAAGATGAAAACTCAGCCCTGAGCTCAGGGAGAAGTTATTCCTTTAGCAGCCTTTGCACTGAGGCATCCAAGGGCAAGGAAACAGAGAGCAGCAAGCTGCAGCAACACACAGGCCAGAGGAAAAACATCATCACTTCAAAAACAAAGCAGCAGCCACTCTAAAAATAGACTTAAAATCAACATGACACAACTCTGGATTGAAATCCACCAGTGCTTAGAGGCTGCAAGGATTTGGAGATGCACAAATGCTGATTCCCTGCAGCCCCCCCTCAGAGGAAATTTGGCAGTTCTTGCCCCCTCTCAAAGCAGCAGCAGCAACATCTTTGGTGTTTCTAAGTGCTTATCTTCCCAGGGAGGAGGACTGGACATGTGTGGGAAGGGAGGGAGCAGGGAAGAGATAGAAGCACAAAGGGCAGTGGCAAGGGATGAGTAAAAAAACCCCAAAACATACCTAGACCATTGATCCCCACTCCAGCCAGAGTCTGGGCTACTTCATCTTGAGTATCACAAAGCTGAGGAAAAATACACACAGATCAGCTAACCTTATGTCCTTCTGGAGCCACCTATGGCAAAAGTAACAAAATCCAAACAAAAAGAATCAAAAATTGTCTTAAAAGCAGCGGGAATTAGTCCAAAAGAGACTTCCAGCCTGATTGGTTTTCCACTAGTGAAAGCAGCAAGATTATTCAGTCAAGACCTGCAAGACTAAGCAGCATATTGGAGGATCAAACCTGAAACTGCATTTCATAGTAAAATAAAAATAGAAATAAATAAACAAACCCCTAACTGTCATTTTTTTTTGAGCCTATAGAGCAGCTTAGGCTAAAAAAATAAGGAAAACACATCCCAGCTATGAAATTTTCCAGACAGCCCCTCAGCTCAGGAGTTGAAGGCACCAGTTTAGCACAGAGAGTTGAAGTTGCTTGAAAAAAAAATAATCCTTTTCTGTGTTTTTTACACCAGCTTATGCAGACAGATGACTCTCTTCATTTCAAATCATTCAGAATAAACTCATCTCCTTTCCCTTACTGGGCTGAGAAGATTAAGGGTTAGGCAGTTTTAAGACCCTGGGTTTTAAGCATGTAGTTGCATTCCAGCTTCCAAAGAGATGGATTTTAGCTCCTTCAAATACAGCTCTAGGAGAGTTGTGTGCTTGCACAGCACCACTAACCAAAAAATCAACCTGAAACACACAAATTGTGATTATTAACCAGCAATAAATCCAAATAAATGAACCCAACCACAGCCAGTGAGCTGAACACCTCTTGCTGGCTGATCTAAAATGATCCAGATGGAGTCAGTTTGCTCTGGGGATATATGGAATAGAAACCCAACAGTGCCTGAAGCCTCAGCATGAAGTCAGGGAATCTTGCTGTGGGCCTCCACACACCACTTGTTTATTTAGATGTGCTCTTAATTCAGTACCTCTTGTATCTGATCCACCAGGTTCTCTGCCTTCTCCACAGTGACATCCTTCATGGACAGCTTCAGAGCTCCCATACCAGCCTGATAGGCATTAAATACCTTAAAAGAAAACAAAAGGAGAGGAAGATGCACAGTGCTACCCAAGAACAACCAACAGGCAGCATAAGCTTCTCCTGAGGCCTGTGATCCAAGCAGGACTCTCACAAAAACATCAGCAGAGAAGCCAAAAATGGAGCCACGAGCAGGTTTGATTCAACACCACACCCCAGCAGCAGAGGATAAACCCCACCAGCCCCCAGACACGAGCTCTGACCAGCAGTCAGACCACAAAATGAGAAGAGAGGGGCTAAAAAGAGGAGACAAAAACTTCCCAGGCTACCATCTGGTCGGTCTGGGAGGCGTAGATCCGATCCAAGATCCCCTGCACTGCATCCAGCTTGGAGTGGAGCTCCTCAATGCGCCTCTCCGTCCTCCGTTTGGACTTCAGACACCTCAGAGCCTGGAGGGGAGGGGGAGGGAAACGTGGAACCCAGGTCAGGGAGCAGCCAAAAGGAAGTGTTCAGAAGAAGAGAGCCATCCCTGCGCAGCGAGGCACAGGCAGCAGCTGCTTGGAAGAGCCAGATGGTTCCACTTCTCTTCCCTCTGGACAAATATATCCTTATCCTCACCTCCAGGAGACCTTTGGCCTCAGAACTATCACTTCCACACATCTAAATTCATGTGTGTGAGGTCTAACCATGGTCATTGTCTGCAGTTATGGACTAACTTCAAAGGCACTTGACTTGTGGTTCCTCCCCAGCAGGACAGGACTTACCAATTGCTTTTTCCCAGCTCTACAAGCACTCCTGGCATCCTCTTTACACCTGCACAGAGGAAAAGAAGTTTATTCCTTTGCAAGCAGCAGTTTCCTTTGCAGAAATCAGCACCCACCCTCACTGCTCTCCCCCAGAGGTGATGAGTAATCCCCCTGTTGGGCACAACCACCCTCAAGCCACTGTTGTTTTTTTCCAAGCAGTCCTTGAACCCGTCCAAAATCTTTGTATCAACTTCTCACAGCCACTCAGAGAATGTTGTTTTTTCATGGGGATAAGGAACAAAGACTGGAAAACCTGCCCTAGCTCGTGACTGAAGCTGCTGCCTCCCAAACAGGAAAGCATGACTTGCACTTTGAGAAAGCAGCTTGGCTCTAAAGACATCACAGGAATACAAAGCTCTCCAGCACAAGGATGTTCTCCCCACCACCCTTCCCCAAATTACTTCTCTGCTTCCTGGGAAAGGGACTCCACCTTCTGTGACAGCAGCTGCTCACTCTGCATCAACTGATAGACTCCAATGTCCACGTCGTTCATGGGGGACACTTTGGCATGGAGACCCCTGGCAAACTTCACTATCTAAAGGAAGAGAACCACGTGCTCCAGTCACCTGCCTCCAAAATCTGCATTACAGAGAGAATGCTGCAACTGTTTCAACACCCCACCAGGCAAGAATGAGGGTTTGAACTCATCTCCAACCACCTCAGGATGCTGGAGGAGAAAGAAATCCCTTTTCCAAACCAAGAGCCACGTTTCACCAACCCTTCCAGCCAGAGGAGATGCAAGGCAGGGATGACACCACCCAAAAACAGTCACCTTTACCCTGTACCTTCTCTCCATTCTGTTCCAGGATCGTCACCCTCTTCTCCTTCTGCAGCTGGAGAAGCAGCAAGCAGAACGTCCTTTCATCTGGGCAAAGGTTGGCACAGAGGGAACGCAGCTCAGAGAGGGCAACAACAGGGTGAGAAGAGAGTGCTGAGTTCTGGTAGAGGTGATAAACCTCCTCTGCCTTCTCCTGCAAGGGAGGGACAGAGCTGCCCGTGAGCTCACACAGCTCCCTGCCTCCCCACACAGCTCCTGCCAGCCCCAGGCTGAAGGGGGAAAGTCAGACACAGCACATCTGGGGCCAGGCTGCCTTGTAGGAGGAGCAATAATATTCAAAAGTAATCACAAAGCTTGACAAATATTGTCATTCATGAAGTGAAAACAGTCCAGCTTCCCACAAAACCCAGAATGAGTCTACTCCCATTCCTCAGGGAAATGTTGTGGGACAATGTGAGAACTCCACTGGCCTCCCCTGAACTTCCTCAAGTCCTCTCTCCCTTCCCAAGTTTAAACCAAACCAACCCTCTTGTTGAACCCACACTACACTTGTCCTCACAGAGCCCTTCTGCATCAGTTGCACAGGGGGAGAGGAAGAAGAAAAAAGTTTTCCCTGTTTCAGCAGCAGTGTTGGGTTGCTGGTTGGACTGGAGGACCTTAGAAGACTTTTCCAACCTTAATGATGCTATGAATGAGTTCTTGCTCTTCTGCCTGTCCCACTCCCCCAGATTCCACTCTTGGTGCTAATGGAAGCAGTCATGGAGTATGACTGAGGAGGACCTGAGGTCTCAAAGGCACTCCAGCACCCCACTGGCTGCCCTCAGGCTCACCACCACCAAAAGGCTCTTTGGAGAGGAGAGTTCAGCAAGCTGAGAGCAGCCTTCAGCTCAGGGATACATTGGCCTGACAGCCCACGGCTTGTCCCTCACCCTCTTCTCCCTACCACAGCCTTCCCTCCTCCATCTGACCCCGATTCTCCCTTGCTAGCACAGAAAATGACTCCTCATTTTCCCTGGAGATGGATCCTCTTGTGCAGGCTCTCAACAACACTCACCTGAAGCAGCTCCACATAAATCAGAACTTCCTCTTCCTCAGGTATTTTGCTGTCTCCCAGCACACTGGAGAGAGTCCACTTGAGGGGCTTCAGAATGAAGACTCCCACACCCCAGGAGATCCAGCTGCTGTCTACACTGGCCATGAAGTCTGACTCCCTCTGCAGCTTGCCACGTCTGGAGAAAAGACACACGTGCAGAACTGAATATGGACAGTCTAGACCTTTCCACTATTATGATCTACTACATCCTTCCCTTCTGAGGAACAAGCTTGTTCGTGGTTTCAAAGCCATGGTTCTGGGGGACGTGGTTCAGTGGTGCCGGGTTAACAGCTGGACCAATTGATCTAAAAGGTCTCTTCCCACCCACCCAAACGCCTCAATGAGCTCTCCTCGCCTGTACCCACAGCACAACGCTCCTCACACCCCCTCCTTCTCCAGCCACCCCCCCCAGGACCCCCACA